TTGACTTTATGTCTCATGAGAATTGCATTTATCTTCGTATCTTTATTAGCTAAGCCTGCTCTGAATCTTTTTCTTCTGACTTCACATATGCTTCGGGATTATAAGTGTTACATATACATATAGGCTTGCTTTACTAGATGTGGTTACATTAGCTTGTACTTGATATCTTCCACACAATTCTAATATTTATTTCAAAAAACATTAACATGTACTTGATATCTTCCACATAATTTTGAGATGTACAGCGATATTTTTGAGAAAAGAGTTATTGTCAAGTTGAAAATAGCATACTTGTTTCGAGCTGTTCAGTTTACTGGCATCGGCTGTGTATGCAGGTCGAATTGGATTCAGGCATTGAACTACCAAATTCGAACCTGATCTGACCGATCCATATCAACACTTCCAATAAAGCCAACCTGAACATTTTAAAAATAAAAAAAAATCTTTATTGGGGTGGGTGGTCCGTCTCGATTGCTACTGGAATTGTCATCCGTAGTTGATTATTGTGCAGGGCAAGAAAATATGGTGGTTGATGCTCTTTTTTAGGAACATGAGGGTGGGAGGGTTCTTTTGGCCGTCTTAATGCCCCAATTGGACATTTTTCATTCAATCAATGAGGAAATTACTAACTCCTCTCTTCTGCAAGTGTTTACTATCTTACAAGAAATGGGTTTCCTTTGTTGCCTACCTCTACAAATATTCCTCTTATTCTTTCTCCTATTCACAGCAAGGAACATGAAGGGTATCAAAAACCCTTAAGTGCATAGTGAGTTATTTCTATTAGAGACGACTCAAACATCAAGTCCAGGACTTTGTTTGAACATGTTAAACTTGTCAACATCTCAAAGTATTCTATGGTCCTTCTAAAGTTTTGGAGAGAATTGGCCCCGCTGCTTACAGGCCTGACTTGCCTGAGGATTCCACGATGCATCGTCTCTTTCATGATTATTAGATTTTTAGCAATTAACTTATTGAGCTTACTCTTCCACTTGTTTCAAGTGAGAGCTGGTTTCCACGCCACAGGCAGGATCAAGATTTCTGGAATGCTGCAGGTATGGTAGTGTCAGAAGCCTTAGACATGGCTCTGACCTTGTGAAAGTTTAAGGGAGAAGAAGAAGAACGAACAAGGGAGAAAATAGTAGACTTTTTTATTGATTTTTGATGTGTTTAAAATTGATGAAAGGAGCCCTTTTTGTAGGCCTAAATATATTAAATAAATTCATTATTCAAGGCGAAATCAAGCTTACTGGAGTTGCGCGGTCGGAATCGCGTGATGATGGTGATCAGCGTTGTCTACAGGATGGATTTGGAAAGCAGAGGTGTCGGCTGTGGAGTCTTGTTAGGGTTGGTCAACCCTAATTCCAGTTCTTCATTTTTCCTGTTCTGCCCTTTTGTGTGCATATTTCCTTTTTTGCCCTTCTTTCTGTAATAAACCCTAAGGGGTTCCCTGACAGATAGCTTGTTACTCTTCCACTTGTTTCTAAGGGAGAGCTGCTTTCTACACCATAGGCAGGATCAAGATTTCTGGAAAGGTTGCAGATATAGTAGCCTGTTATTTTAATGTCCCTTGAGGACAAAAAGGGGGGTGGAGGAATAAGTAATGTCATGTCTGAAATGGTGGGTCCAGTTATAGCATATCAATTTATTGGCAGGGACCCACGAGAAGGCAACATTTTTTTTTTGGGATAATAGAAGAACTATTATTAAGAGAGAGAACCAAGTGAAAAATATAAGTCTAAAAAGAAAAATAAATAAATAAACAGTCACACAATTGTAGCATCATACGAGGTATAGATAATAGATTCCCAGTTCTGGTGGAGTGCAGTAATGCAACTATGTGGGAAATGTCCATGCGCTTTTGCTCAGAAAGTTGCCATGACAGTAGTCCTATCCCATATCTCATCCAAGGAAGTAGTACAATAATGGAAAATTTTCCAGTTCCTTACTAGCCAAATACACCATAGTCTGGTAAAAATTGCTCCTTGCAAAAGACACTCAACTTCTTTCCTCACCCATACTTCATAAGCAATAAAGCTTTCCACTGGGAGGCATCATCCAATTCAGACCAAACAATCTCACCAATTTTGTCCATGTCCTCTATGCTACATTGTGATGTAGGAAGAGGTGGGAGTGGGCCTCACCTCCTCATAAGACTCATTACCAAATATCTAGGGACAAGGCATGGTGAGGGCGACACAGTTGGAGCATCTCATTTGTGTTTAGCCTTTGATGAATGGCTATTCATGAAAATAGCTCAACCTTTGAAGGTATTGAGGATTTTTAAAATACCTTAGCAAGTTGAATGGAGAACAAACGAGATTTTTTTTAAAAGGTGATCGAACAATGACTTACATGTATACGTCCGCGATCGTTCAAGGGCCAGGATCTGCTGTCTGGCTGGGATGAAATTTGAATGGCGTCTAAAGTGGATAAATAAGGATGACATGTTGAAGATTCCCTATTAGATAGGTTGTTGTGTTTAAAGTGGAAATTCCAGGCTATTCTCCCTTCAGTGTCATGGGTGAAAATGGAAATTGGGCTTTGTTTTTAGCAGAAAGACTCTGAAGTCATGTTTTGGCTTGGGCGGGTGGGGAAATCAACCATCGTCCTTCCTCCTTGGAGATTGACTGAATCTATTCCAATTGGTTATGTGGATAGAAGTTAATTAGTACTTCCTAGCTTGGATGTTGGGTACAATGTTGGTATAGGAGTTTAGATATGCTGGTTTGAGAATTTGGCTTAATTTTTAAGGATCGATGAGAATAAGTTTTGCACATGATTTGTAAAGATAAACAACTGCTGACAGAAATTAGTTTGATTCTCTAGGGATGGAAGGTTCTCCCCTTAAGGTCAAAAGTCAAACAACCAAGCCTTGCACTTGCTGCTGGATTTCCAGTCCGCCTATCTTTAAACAGATACCATACTTGAGACCCTAACAGTTGCTAGCTGAGATTAACATTTCAATGCTTCACTGAGTATACTTTGATCATGTCGGCCATTTGAATGACATTTCATTGGGTGTTCAGTTAAGTATTGCAAACAAATTATGTCTTCCGTCAATTCATGTTTCTACTGCTGACTATCCACTTTTTCTCTTCAAACTTTTGACCAAACTGAATCTTTCATCCATCCATGATTTAGCATTTGTTATTTTATAGAGGTTCATAATATACATATGAGAAAGCCCTAAATTTAATTTTTCTTTTAGTTATTATATCATGTATCATAAGTTTATGGTTTCTTGTTGCGTACTTCAATAAACCTATACATGCAGGCTTCATTACTTGAAGAAAACATTAAACCTAGGACAGATCTTCCACATTTGCTAGTACATCTTCGTGAGCGGAAGCCTGAGAAGCTGCATTATGTTGGTGTCTCCTTTGGGCTAACCCGGGACCTTTTTCGCTTTTGGAGGAAGCATAAATTTGCCCCATTCTATGTCAGCCAGATTCCAGTTAAGATGATCTTCTGCCTCATTGATCAACCTGTGTAATTTGTCTTATTTGTTTCTGTATTTGGAGGATTATTTGTAATTTGACCTTTCAAAATTTTTTGTGTATCAGAGTTCTGTGACTGGTGAACACACATGTATGGTACTAAAACCATTGAACAGTGATGAATTTGAAGTCAGTGGATCTAATGACTGGGGCTTTTTTGGTCCATTTTACCAAGGTGAGCAACTTTTATTCAGTTACAAAAACATCTCTTAACTTAAACATAACTACAATGTTCCGTATTTTAATTTTTTCTATTACGAGAATGCCTTTCAGTTAATAATATCCATACTAACTATTAAAAAGCTGAGAATCTCATAATTATATTTGATGGCTATTATATTATTACGCTATTAGATATCTCAGATGACTGTTAGGCAGTCAAGCTTTTTAGCACAAGTTTAACCAAAATGTTCACACATGGGTGCTTCTTTAATACAAGAAGAGGGAACTTTTTAAAATTTATCCATCATTCCCTGTATAATCTTTTGTTTGCCTTTTTTTCGGTTCCTTGCTTGACACTTTGCTTTCTTATTCTTAGATTTCAGGGTAAAGTTCTCTAGACTCCTGTGTACTAAATTCAAGAAGATGGAGTATAAACTTGCAATGAGGTCAGTGCTAAAAATTTTTCCTCCTATTCACTTTCAGTTAATGCAGACCTTGCCAAATAAATATTTGAGACATGGGACTATGTTTCAATCTAATGAACAACCAACTAATCTTTTCATGCTAAGACTCCAACCACTTCTTCCCTACCTAACCCCCTTTTTTCTATGCCCCTAGCCAAGACTTCATTTAGTACTTAAAACATTGCCTTTCACCTACATATAATAGCACCTGGTTTTCTCAAAAAAAAAAAAGAAAAAGCAAGACAAAGAAGCAGCTTGACAGTGTTAGAAGCAAAAGGTTCAGTATTTGTTTGTGTCAATCTACCCTCAGGTTTTGTTGAATTAAAAATAATTTTCTGGGTTGTTGAATGGAAAATATTTTGTATGTTTTTTGTAGTTTATCCTAATATTTATTTTTCACTATGCTTATGTGTTCTTTGAGTAATTCAGTGTCCTGGATCCTAAAATCAACTTCATGGAGGTAGAATCTCCAGACTCATGCACAGATGGATGTTTAAGGTCACTCAATGGTATTATATCGCCATATGACATGGAGCGGCTTAGCGCTTATACAGACAATCTTGCTGATTTTAATTCGGTAAGAACCCAAGACGATGATTGCAATGACAAATATTTACCCAACTAGATATTTACATCTACGCTTAAATTGGGAAGAAATCCATCTTGTAAAAATGTCTTTAGGATCCTCAATCTACTGTTGTCAAATCTGTGTTGTTGTGCTTGTGTATGTGGGTTTTCTATTTTATTTTGTTTATCTTGCATGTGTGTTTTCTCCCCCCTCAGGGGGCTGGGGGGCAGGAAAGCTAATATTATTAGTTTATTGCTTTCTCTTATCAGCTTACTGTGTTTTCTCTCTCTGCTCAATAAAACATAAGTGAAAGTATACATTAAAAAAAAATGTAAGTGAGTAATATTATGAAATGGAAGAACTATCAACACTATTAAGAGTGTTTGAATGTGTATTTTATTGAACACTACTGTCCTATATATAGAAGTTTTCTAGAATATAAAGGAAATTGACCATTAATTACATATGGTGTATTTTACCCTAATATCCTTTAATCTAATTATATACTCTCTTTAATACTCTCCTTCAAGATGGAAAACAAATATTGTCTATCCTCAGTTTGCCAATAATAGGCTGGAATGTTGGATTACTTAGACTTTTAGTCAACACATTTGCAA